GCTTCTGGTTCCATTGAGATTTCTTCTCTCTAGTCGCGTGAAGCTTTTTCCTGTAGAAGATGAAGGTACTCTTTCTCTCTGCTCTATTAATCGTTTTGATTCGAATCAGGAGTTTTTAATTTGTGATTTCCATGACCGGTCGATTGAATATTCGATTTTCATTTCATTCTCAAATTTTCCATTGAGAAGATCACCATGAATTTTCAATTTCGTCTGTCAATTATAGATGATCGAACCTGCTTATCATATATAATTAAATAATCAGACATGAAATCCTTCAAAGTGAACCTAGAAGTTACCATGAACTGATGGTATTTTGTGTTGTTGTAGCAATATTGGAGTCCAAGCAGTATCAACAAGAACAAAGCTATGGTGGAGAACTTGCAAAGTTATGGTATAATCACTTCGGATGAAGTTGCTAAAGCTATGGAGGCTGTGGACAGAGGCATCTTTGTACCTCATCCTTCCRRGYCTTACGTCGATAGTCCCATGTCTATTGGCTATAARGCAACCATATCAGCACCTCATATGCACGCATCGTGCCTTCAGCTCCTCGAGAAGAATTTGAAACCAGGAATGCGTGTTCTTGATGTCGGCTCGGGTTTGTTTCTTTCTTGAATTTGATTCTTCCAGTCCATAGCTTTTTGAGGATGATGACTATTAAGCGTATGCTGAATCTTGATAGGGACCGGGTACTTAACAGCTTGCTTTGCGGTTATGGTTGGATCTGGAGGACGTGCTATTGGTGTGGAACATATCCCTGAACTGGTTGCTTCTTCCGTCAAGAATATTGAAGCGAGTGCTGCTTCGCCATTGCTGAAAGAAGGATCTCTCGCTGTTTACGTTGGTGGTGAGATTCAATAAAAAAAGGTTTTGAGATTTGTTTGGTGTTTCTTTTTTTATATTGCTGGTTGAATGAGTTCTTGTTTGTTTCAAATAGATGGAAGGCAAGGATGGGCTGAGTTTGCACCTTATGATGCTATTCATGTCGGAGCAGCAGCACRGGAGATCCCAGAAGCATTGATTGATCAATTGAAACCTGGTGGGAGACTGGTGATCCCCGTTGGGAACTTATTCCAAGATCTGAAAGTGGTGGATAAGAACTCAGATGGTTCYGTTAGCATCAAGAGCGAAACTTCAGTCCGATATGTTCCTTTGACTAGCCGTGAAGCCCAATTAAAAGGGAACTGATTATGCTCGGTGTACAGAACAATGAATCTAGTAAGCTTCACTTGGGTTTCTAAACTACTGTAGGGACTCGAGATTTTAAATCTTATAACGTCTCTTTGCTGGTAACACTTTCAAATGAGTAAAACATGTTTATTGTAGACAGAACATAATAGTAAGCATTTTATATATAATGCCTTAGTTAAGTAGTAGATGATGCAATGACGTAGAGAGGGAACATGCGGCGAATCACACTGCCGATTGATTCAGCAACTTCGATCTCATCTTCTGTGGATTTCCAATCAAACCCATGCATTAAGTTAGCCAAAACCACCTCATTCAACACCACAGCAAATGATGTTCCTGGGCATCAGCTCCAAACGGAATCAGCTCAAAATCCTGGCCCCGGAAATCAGCCGACGACTCTAAATGTCTCTCCGGTCTTAACTCATTTGCGTCTGGTCCCCAAGTCGTTGTCTCTCTCCCGATCGCCCAAAGATTGACCATAACCTGCATACCAGCGGGTATGTGGTGATCTCTTAGTTTGACACCTCCTGTTGATTCGTGAGGAACCATCAATGGAACTGGAGGATGTAGCCTGAGTGTCTCTTTGATCACAGCTCTCAAGTAGTTCATGTGTTGAATGTCGTCCTATGTTACACTTGATCTGCCCTTACAGAATGTATGGACTTCGTCTTGAAGTGTTTTTAGACACTCTGGGTGACTTAGAAGCTCTGTCATTTCCCATTCCAAAAGCGTGGAGGATGCGTCTGTACCACCCACAAAAACATCCTGAAAAGAAGTGAAAACCAAAACAAGTACTATGGTTATACAATACTCGATGTGAATTCAATTTCTTTTTCTTTTTTTGTTCCTTTACTTACCAAGACGATTGCTTTTATGCTTAACCTGTCGACCTCAAACCCGATGCTCTTCTCTTTCTGAACGCCGAGTAATACATCAACAAAATCGGTCTTATCGAACTTTCCAGCTTCATGTTCCTGCACAACTCTCTCCAAGAGCTTATCAAAATCATTTTCCGTCTTCTTGAGTCGAGCCTCCAAACCGCTGACCCAATCAATCCACCCAAGCCACGGTACATAACTCCCGATACTAAGCGTACCCAACTGCCTCGTGAACCTCTCCATTAACTCCTTAAAATCCGTTTCACCACCGTATTTTCTTCCCAAAGCAATTCTACATATAACATCGTTGGTTAAACTAGTCAAGAGCTTGCTTAGATTAACCTGCAAAGAACTCGATTTCCGAATCTTTTCCATCATCAGAATGAACTCCTAAACAAATTTTTTTCGCAATTTAAACAACTCTTCAAGTTACAGAAAGTATGGTCGAAATGAACTAGTCTACTTGAGTGGTATTAACCCTGCTTCGGAACTAGT